TGTAGCAGTACTATTATTCATTCTACAAAAAAAAGAAACAAACATTTGTACCTTATACTTCAATTTCTTAAAATGATGTAACGGGTGACAATCAGACTAAATATTTTATAATAAGGAAGGGTATTGTTTCTTTATAATTAAAATTTATGATTTTGGTTATCCGATTAAAATTATACTTTAAAAATTTTGTTACCCTTTTTCATTTTAGGCATATAGTATATCTAATTTGATGAGTTTTTTGTTTCATTATAGATTATTTTGATTCTGGTGATGGGATATATATTTGCTCAGTATGTAAAGCTAAGGTTTGGAAGGGAGAAGCAATTCAAGGAAATAACGATTTAAACAAAACCTATTTATTCCATTTGTTGTTACAATGGAAAAGTAGAATTACCCACTCTTATCCACCCACCTCAGTTGTTGATTGATTTATATAGCAGCGTTACTGTAAAAGGTCAAAACTTTATACAAAGTATCCGTCGATACAATATGATGTTTGCATTTACATCTATGGCTGGTAAAATTGATCATTCAATTAACTCTGGAGGTGGTCCTTATGTTTATTCAATGCATGGACAGAATTATCATATTGCAGGCAACTTACTACCAGAGGATGGTGAATTACCAAATTTTTTCCAATTGTACATATACGATACAAATCATGAGGTCGACAACAGATTCAATGCATACGAGTATGTAAATACATTCTATCGTATAAGCGCTTTACACACACACGCATATATATATATATATATATATATATATATATATATATATATATATATATATATATATATATTGTTTTTTTGTATTATATTGCATAATATTTATATCCATGATTTTTTTCCTCTTAATGTAGTTCAAAAAAGAAAAAGTCAACATCTTCTAATTCAATGGAAAATCCTTTTTCACTCAAGTTCTTGATTGTTCATGAGTTGATGGGTTGATTGGATTTTATCAATCCATTAGTTAAGCAATTTAGAATGGCACGTGATCGATTTGGATCAAATCTAGCAGAGCGTATTAGGCTTAAATTGATTGGGACAATAGAAAAGGATGGTGGGCAGTATAATCTTCCTACCACAAGTGAGGTGGATGCACTCATTATAGGTGACATTGACGGTTCTGATTCACGAAATATTGTTTTGGAAACAAAGAGTCGGCATCTTCAACATATTAATGAGTTTCATCCTCAATATCTTTCACTTCAATATCCTTTATTGTTCCCTTATGACGAGGATGGATTTCGACCGGATATATTACATCGTGGTGTTGAAGAACCAGACTACAAAGGACGAATAAAGCTGACCATGAGAGAGTTTTTTGCTTACCGTATACAACAGAGAGCTAATGACATATCTTTGATATTACGTTCGAGAAAACTCTTCCAACATTTTTTTAGTTGATTCATATACAATGGTTGAAAATGATCTCCTTAATTATATACAGTTTAACCAACCAACATTACGTGTGGTTCCTTATGGCAAATTGGCCAAGGCTGCTCAAGAGGGAATTGAAGATGCTTCTATGATGAGAAACTGTATTATTATTTCATCTTCTTTTAGTGGTGACAACCGTTACATGCAACAAAATTACTTAGATGGAATGACTTTGGTTAAGTGATTTGGTTATCGAGATCTTTTTTAACCCTTACATGTAATCCTAAATGGACAGAGGTAATTAGATTCGTTAAATCTGAGAATCTTAAACCGGAAGACAAGCCATATATTTTTACATGGATATTCAAAATAAAACTTGATTCACTAATCAGTTGACTGAAGGAAGAAAAAATTTTGGATGAAGTCTATGGAGGTATAAATCTAAAAGGTCATTATTCATTATCTTTTTTATGATTTTATAATATTATGTATTAACCAACTAACATAATTGCCTCAAACAGTTGTATATATCATCGAGTTTCAAAAAGGGGGTCTTCCACATTTTCACATATTCCTCTTTTTAGAAAAAAAAAATCTAAACTTCCAAATACCGAAGATATAGATCGTGTTATATATGTTGAATTGCCAGACAAGGAGCTTGAACCAGAATTGTATCGAATTGTTTGTGACAACATGATACATGGACCATACGACAATGAATTTCCATTTATGCCATGTATGAAAAAAGGAAAATGTTCTAAATAATTTCCAAAAGACTATACAGGTCATACATATATTGACGACGACGGTTATCCAATTTACAGACGACACCACAATGGAAATAATGTTGTGAAAAATGGTATATATATATATATATATATATATATATATATATATATATATATAATTCCATAGAAATTATTTCTTTTATATGAAATATATGTTATATGTTTTAATACATAATATCGCTAAAAAAGTTACATTAAAATATAATGCGAGATTGAAGTTTATATAAATCAAGTTTAACTCACATAAACTATTCATACATCATTTTTATTTACATTTATATTAAATCATTTAAATACTTTATATAATATGAAAATTATAATTATTATATATGTTTATTTGGTTTTCCTCTTTTTTAAAATAATATGGTTTTAATGTTATTTATGACATGTTTCTTTGCTTTCTTAAATATGTTGTTCCATATAATAAGATACTTTTGAAGCAATACCAAGCGCGTATGAATCTTGAGTGATGTAATCAGCTTGGATCGATAAAGTATCTTTTTAAGTATATTAACAAAGGACCAGACATGATCACAACCTCTTTTTATGATGGCCAAAATTAAAAAAAAACAACATAAAGAAAATAACGACCGTGATGAAATTGTTGACTTTTACAATAGTTTTTATATTTCTGCTTGTGAGGCATGCTAGACACTTTTTGGGTATGACATTCATTATAGAACACCTCCTGTTGAAAGGTTGTCATTTCACCTTGAAGGCAAACAACATGTTGTGTTTAAACCATCCCAACGTGTTACTAATGTTGTTTCTAAACCCATTATTGTTGCTTCTCAATTTTTGGCTTGGATGGAATGTAACAGCTATGATGAAAAGGCACACAAGTTATCATATGTTGAATTTGCAACTCAATATGTTTGGAATAAATCAAATAAAGTATGGACAAGAAGAAAAACAAAGACAAAGTCACTTGGCAGAATTAATCACATGTATCCCAAGTCTGGTGATGTTTATTACTTACTCATTTTGCTCAACAAAGTAAAGGGTCCTACTTGCTATGAAGATATTAGGACAGTTAGCCGGACCGTTTATGAATCTTACAAAGATGCTTGCTACACTATTGGCTTATTAGAGGATGATAGAGAATACATATCTTCTATACACGAAACACATCATTGGGCCACCACTTCATATTGAAGGTCTCTATTTGTTATGTTGATTACATCGGATAGTCTATCGCGGCCTCATCATGTTTTTAAAGAGACTTATAATTGTCTTTCTAATGATGTCGTTCACGTTCGTAAACAAGAATTCTGCGTAACAGGTACATTTTCAAATAATCTAACCCATTTACACAAAAACGTTCTAAAATTAATTAATATTACAAATAAATAATTTCATAATTTTTTGTTTTTTCAGGCTTGAAGGTAAAACCGGAAGCAATTTTACATCTTATGTTGTCATACATTGAGAAATCTTTATTGAGTTATGGACTGAGTTTGAAGCAAATACCCAATGTGCCATTACCTGATCACAAATGTATTCAAGATTCTTGCAATATGTTAATTCAAGATGAGCTTAATTATGATCCGTCTATTCTTGAAGTTAAACATCAACAAATGCATTCCAAATTAAATATCGATCAAAAAAAGGTTTATGATACAATTATCAATGCAATTAACAAAAAAGGTGGTGTCTTTTTCCTCTATGGTTTATGATACATTTGTTTGGAATACATTGTCTGCTGCTATTATATCTAAAGGTGAAATTGTTATCAACGTTGCTTCAAGCGAAATTGGAGCACTCTTTCTCTCTGGTGGTAGAACAACTCATTCAAGATTTCATATACCAATTAACTTGAATGAGGATTCGTTTTGTTCTATTATGCCATGTAATGATGTAGCTGAATTGTTGAATAAATCGAGACTTATCATATGGGATGAAGCCCTGATGATGCACCGTCATTGTTTCGAAGCAGTTGATAGGACACTTAGAGACGTTATCCTTTCATTGGACAAGAATAAACCGTTTGGAGGTAAGACCGTTGTATTTGGAGGTGACTTTCGACAGATTCTTCAAGTAATACAAAGATGATATTGTTCAGATATTGTTCAGGCATCATTGCATTCATCAAGATTATGGCGTGAATATACAGTTTTATGTGTGAATGTAAGCATGAGGCTTCAGGTCGGTTGTCCAAACGATAATTTAGAAGACATGTCATTGAAGCTCGGATCATATCTGGTAGATTTTTCAGTGAGACTACTTATATACCTCACATGAAGTTAACCCCGTCTGATAAAAAAATTTCATTTCGTTTTCAGCGGAGACAATTCCCCATACACTACAAGAAAAACGCGATTTTGCTAGGGAAGGAATCCGTTGCGAAAAGCTGAAATTCTGTAGGATTCCATCACAAATTCCATGGTAGTTATTCCATAATAAATTCCGTTGTAGTTAATCCCTAGCAAAATCCGTGGTGATTAATACCTAGCAAATTTCATGGTAATGAATCCCTAGCAAATGTCGTGGTGGTGAATCCCTAGCAAATTCGGTGGTGGTGAATCCATAGTAAATTCTGTGGTGATGAATCCCTAAGAAAATCCGTAGTGATGATTCCCTAGCTAAATCCGTAGTCTTGGTTCCATAGCTAAATCCATGGTGTAGGAATATTTCCCTAGCAAAATCCAAGTCAGTATTCTAGCAAATTTTGTAGGAATATTTTCGCTGCAAAGCTAAATAGTTACGGTTGGATAAATACTTTATAAATTAATTCCTAATTATTTTGTACGAATATATAAAAAATATCAAATAATCAAATATGATTTATACCATTAATAAAACAACAAATATTTATTACAAGGAAATGAAATGTAACCTAATTTAAAATAAATATTTTGCTAGAAACAAGCCTACACTTTATGATCTATAACTACTTTTAGAGTTCTTTAAAAGCGTTAATAACAGTCATTGCCGATTGTAGTTATCATTCAAGCTGCTCGATTCTTGTGTTATGTTATTCATCTTTGGCCTTCATTATTTCCTTTAGTTCTTCGTTTTTCTCTTTTTGTTTAGTAACAAGTTCCCTCGATTCTTCCAATTCAACATTTTTGTCCGCAAAGAAGCCAAATCCATATAGTTTGAGAATTTTTCTTATCTAGATGTTTGGCTAGCTATATGGCCACAAATCATAGTATTCTTTTCGGCTATCTTGTTCAGAGTTTCAAGGAGAGAGAGAGAGAGAGAGAGAGAGAGAGAGAGAGAGAGAGAAAGAGAGAGGGGGAGAGAGAGAAAGGTTTCTAGAGGTGGCGACTATCACGGTGGTGGTGTGATTTTGTGATGAGGGATGCGGTTCTGCAAAAAATAATTAACATAATTTGAGATTAAAACACAGAATAAATCAAAAGTTCATTGTGATTGATTGCTAACCTCATTTGGATTATAACTTTCTTCTCAAACCTCTACAACAATGACATCAATATTGATATTTCCATTAACATTAGGATCTCTTTTAATGCCAACAAGTCAATGTTCTTTGTTACGATTAATCCAATAAGTGTGCCTTGATCTTATTTTTGTTTGTAGTTGAACTGTTTCACCCATATAATTTCCTCCACACGCTTGTATCACCAAAGTTGTAAACTACAACAGGATATCAAGATCAATGAGGTTGTATTTCATAAACTAACAAAATAATTTCGGAAACCAATTAAAGATTTTGCATGCTATTCAAGTCCCAATTCCATTATACCTTCTCCGCTTCTCTACCAGAATTCAGAAAGCAACAAAAGCAAAGACATGCAACCATTTACACATAATGAATGACATCTCATTCTCATTTGTTGACTTCCCATAGAACACCATTTCAATCCTCTGCAATGAGTAATGGCATACATTATCATTATAAACTATAACAATAACTTTTTCGAGGAAACAATGAATAATATTAAAGTAGTAGTTCAACAATAACTGAAAGCAGCTACCTTTAGCTTTCTTGTTAATCCAAATTTAAATCAGCATCCCAGCTCTAATTCCACCAACAATACACAACCATAAAATGCAATGTTAGCTGACATGGATCTCACATTGGATCATTACTGCCTTTAATCACCATAGTAGCTCAATAGGATGTCAAATTTCCACTTAATCATGTTATAGTCACCAACAATAAGAACTTAACAGGCTAATTACAAGTAATACATTTCATTCTTTCACATCCATTGCTCAGAGTCTCATTTACATCATACATCATCGTAAACCTACAACATATTGATGCAATATCACAATCTTCACATATGAAAAGAAAATCAGAAACAGAAACTTAAACCACTTTGGGCCTGTTAAGAGAAATCTGGAAAAAAAAACACACTTTGGGTTTGATTGCCCTTTTGATTAACAGTCATTCATTCAGAATTCGCATATGACAAAACACAAACAATATCAGAAACCGAAAATTAAAGTCTAAAACTTAGGGTCTGATATAGTCATATAGATTCATCGATTTATAGATTAAAAAGAGGGGAAATTAGAAAATTGATAAGAAAATTAACAAAAATCAGAAAATTGATAATGCTCTGAAATCAGAAAACTGATAAAACCCGATTTCCTATTCTTACCGGATGTATTGTTTGATGCCTTCTAAGATTCCGATGATGGCTCAATCAAATCTCTACCTATTGGAACTCTGAACCGATTACAGAAAAAAATCGAAGAATAAAAAGTAAAAACCTTTGAATGATCGATGTTACTGAATAGTGAATACAACTGCATCTTGGGAGTTTCGACTGCAATGTTGTGATCTCGCATGGTTTTCCTTCAATACAGGGAGAGAGCCAGAGAGGAGGGATGGGTCAATAGAGGAAGAAATTGAAAACTGAAAAATCGACTCCCCCGCTTTGAACGAATCCGCATACAGGTGAGAAATTGGACGACCTTTTTTCTTCCTGATTTCCTTGTAATTCAGTTTAATCGGGCCTCAATAGTTTAAAAAAATCATACGTGGGCTTCCTAGGTTTCGTTGTATTAGGTTTTGGGGTCATGAAATTTTTTGGAGGGGTACTAAAATTGAGAGACGGGACTTTTAAAATAATTAGAAAATAACTTATTTTTTCAGTTATAATTGTAATTAAAGTAACGTATGAAAAAAAAACAATCTTATTTTTTATATTACTAATTTTTATCCAACAACATAAAAGTCACAGTTTTAAACTTACATAAAAAATAATATCATTATCACAAAAATAAATATGATACTTCGAGTAAATATGATGTTTCTTGTAAAAATGAATTTTCACATTTTGTGTTATTAAATAAGTCATATCCGATAAGGAGGGTGCGGAAGGGGCGTATGTGAGTAAGGATGTTAGGGCGGGGTAGTGTAAGTGTGAGGTGGAGTAGGCATAGGTATATGGGTGTCAAGTGAATTGGTATGTTAGTGATTTAAGGATGAGGTGGAGTGGGCATCGGCGTGGGTGTGGGCTTATAGGCATGGGTAGATTGGTGAGTATGTGTGGGGTGTAAAGGTCATTAGTCAACATGGTAATTGATTATGGTGTCATGGTATCGCACATGGATGACATATGGGTCATTGGTCAACATGGTAGTTGATTATAATGTCATGGTAACACCCATGGATGACATATGGGTCTTTAGTCAACATGCATGGTACGTAGTTGCTTATGGTGTCATGGTATCGCACATGGATGACATATGGGTCATTGGTCAACATGGTAGTTGCTTATAGTGTCATGGTAACATCCATGGATGACATATGGGTCATTGGTCAATATGGTAGTTGCTTATGGTGTCATGGTAACACCCATGGATGACATATGGGTCATTGGTCAATATGGTAGGTGCTTATGGTGTCATGGTAACACCCATGGATAACATATGGGTCATTGGTCAACATGCATGGTAAGTAGTTGCTGATGGTGTCATGGTATCACACATGGATGACATATGGGTCATTGGTCAACATGGTAGTTGCTTATAGTGTCATGGTAACACCCATGGATGACATATGGGTCATTGGTCAATATGTTAGTTGCTTATGGTGTCATGCTAACACCCATGGATAACGTATGGGTCATTGGTCAACATGCATGGTACGTAGTTGCTTATGGTGTCATGGTATCGTACATGGATGACATATGGGTCATTGGTCAACATGGTAGTTGCTTATAGTGTCATGGTAACACCCATGGATGACATATGGGTTATTGGTCAATATGGTAGTTGCTTATGGTGTCATGGTATCACCCATGGATGACATATGGGTCATTGGTCAACATGCATGGTACGTATTTGCTTATGGTGTCATGGTATCGTACATGGATGACATATGGGTCATTGGTCAACATTATAGTTGCTTATAGTGTCATGGTAACACCCATATATGACATATGGGTCATTGGTCAATATGGTACTTGCTTATGGTGTCATTCTATCATCCATGGATGACATATGGGTCATTGGTCAATATGGTAGTTGCTTATGGTGTCATGGTAACACCCATGGATGAGATATGGGTCATTGGTCAATATGGTAGTTGCTTATGGTGTCATGGTAAGACCCATGGATAACATATGGGTCATTGGTCAACATGCATGATACGTAGTTGCTGATGGTGTCATGGTATCACACATGGATGACATATGGGTCATTGGTCAACATGGTACTTGCTTATAGTGGCATGGTAACACCCTTGGATGACATATGGGTCATTGGTCAATATGGTAGTTGCTTATGGTGTCATGGTAACACCCATGGATAACATATGGGTCATTGGTCAACATGCATGGTACGTAGTTGCTTGTGGTGTCATGGTATCGTACATGGATGACATATGGATCATTGGTCAACATGGTAGTTTCTTATAGTGTCATGGTAACACCCATGGATGACATATAGGTCATTGGTCAATATGGTAGTTTCTTATGGTGTCATGGTATCACGCATGGATAACATATGGGTCATTGGTCAACATGCATGGTACGTAGTTGCTTATGGTGTCATGGTATCGTACATGGATGACATATGGGTCATTGGTCAACATGGTAGTTGCTTATAGTGTCATGGTAACACCCATGGATGACATATGGGTCATTGGTCAATATGGTACTTGCTTATGGTGTCATGGTATCACTCATGGATGACATATGGGTCATTGGTCAATATGGTAGTTTCTTATGGTGTCATGGTATCACCCATAAGCCCTAAGCCCTAAGCATAAGCCAATCCCTAAGTCATAATTCACAACTTATAAGACGTTACGCCTAAGCCCCAAGCTAACAATAAGTAATAAGTCATAAGCCATACGCCTTAACCCCTACCTATTAAGCGATACATAATAGCCATAAGCTATATGCCTTAAACCTTAAGCTTAAAGGCTTAATCCATAGGTCTTAAAGCATAATCCATAAGCATTATACCTTAGCCAAAATTCATGATCTATAAGTCCCTAGCCATATACACCATGCCTTAGTGATCCATAGACGTTAAGACCTACGTCACAAGGCATAAGTGTTAAAAACTAGATTGTAAAAATTAAACCTTAAACCTACATGGGTCATCCATACACCATGAGACCTAATCCTTAAGCCATACACCATAATTATTGAGCCTAAAGCCTCAATAAATTATCCCTAAACCATAAACCATAAGGCATGTGCCCAAGCCCTAAACCCCGAGCCTTTAGACATGAGCCATATGGCCTAAGCCATAAGCCATTAAGCTAAACACCATAAGTCATAAGTCATAATGCATAAGCCATAACCTATAATCCACAAGCCATACGACACATTCCATAAGCCACATATCATAAACCAAACCCGAACCGAAACCGATTGAAACTAGAACAGCGTGTTATATATATATATATATATATATATATATATATATATATATATATATATATATATATATATATATATATATATATTCCTTCTAAATAAAAACGTAATTTGAAATCAAAATAATTTAATCTCCCCCATATTATTTTGATTTTTTCGTCTAAATTTTGATTGATTTGGATTTCCCCCGCATACGATCCGTCCCAAATGTTTATTAAAACAACTTCCCATCCTTGTAAAATCTGATTTATTTTCCCCCTGAAACTTGGTCTAGGGCTCATATAGCTCTCTCTAACTTCACCAATATCAACACATCTAGTCTCGATCATGTATCTCTCTCGCTATCAATTTTATCTCTTTCACTGATCGGCAAGCTTTCACCACCTAATCGATTATGGCTCTCGACTATCTCAACTCTTAGAAAAGTACAATAGGTGTCAAAAGGCGGATTTCCACTTCTGTACTATCCAATTTCATGTTATATGTGTCACTCAAATCTCTCTCCCACCCTCCTTCACCATATAGGACTACATATACTTCAAAACACTCAAGGATAACGTCTCCAATGTTGAAATTATACCACTGCAAGAGGACTAGTAATGCTTCCCTGTCAAATCACGCATTCATCTTATTCATGTATCCCTTCTTCTTCCTCATATCGCACCTTTATAATCCTTATCTGATACTTGTCTTATTTATCGACTCCTAAATAAGAATATTGGATGATCGACGATGTGTCCCTGTAGCAACCTTAACAGTTAATTTCTTTCTTTCTGTTGAATCATGATGGGTATGTTTTGCTTTGTTGCTTTATTTCTTGTTATCAAACTTTAATAAGTTTCAGTTCATTTGCATCAAAGTGATTTATATGAAAACTTTGTATTTTAACTGCATATCAATTGTTTGTTGATATGCCTATGTAAGATTCTCTTGTAAACATGAAATTAACTTTAATTGGATCTATAAAAAATTTAATACAGAATTAAGTGAGATTTTCTTATAAAGATGAAATTAATTTAGACATGGATGGTGGTTGAGAACAACACGGCCTGTGTTTTTTCATAACTCATTGGTTTCATATTCACTTCACGAGAATGGATGGTGGTTGAAAATGACAAGGCCTGTGTTTTTCTTTTAAAGATGCACTGTACTTTCATATTTTTCGTTTTTGTATTATATCATTCTAGTATCATTGTAAATATGAAATTAGCAAATACTAATTGTTGTAGTTCCGCCACTGTATCGTGTGTTAGGGAATTCAATCATTTGTTTCAATTCCTACTATCTAATTTCCCTTAAATTTATTTTTCTTTTGTATGTTACACGTAGTGATTCTAACATTGTTATTTACATCTATTGTATCTTGAAACATCAAGTCTCAGAATGGTGGTTTCAGGATGGAAGCAGTTGACTTAAGATTAACCACATAGGGAAAAGTATATTATGGAAGCTTGGAATGAAGTGTTGTTGTGATATGTTAAAGGCATATGGATATTCTAAATGTATTTGCTTTTAACTATGTATATTTGTATGTGAAATTTTTGACATAGAATTATGTGGGTTTTTTTTTCAAAATGGCACAATTGATTATGGGTAATTCGTATTAATGGTGGCAATGATTTTGATCTTTTATTTATTTATTTTATACAATTAAGATTGATGTTGAGCTATATGCAAGTAATGACAATGTTCTTTTATAGTTTTACTTTATTAGTTTATAAACATGAAAGATTGAGCTCATTCACTTCTAATATTCATTTACACAATTTTTGTTTTGGCTATGAACTCAAAATGATTTAGTTCCATCCATTATGTTGTTAAAGATGCAGATATCAAATTAAATATTGTATGTCATTCTTTATTTTTTATGGTTTCAAATATACAAAAAAAATAATAATATAAAAGGTGGTTCTTACCTTTTAAATAATTACAAGTACAACGGAAAGTATTTTC